TGACTCAACCTGTAAGTCTAGATAACTCTGTAAATCATAAATATTTATAATGTCATGCAAATAAATGTCATGTATTGCATACGCCTGTATGTGCATAACATCATCAAGCCTCTGAGGGCATCCCATCATATCATCTCGGCCACTATGGGCAAATCATCAATGTATACCAGCTGACCAGGTGGTGGTGCGTATATATAATGCCATAACCTTTCCCATATCCCATATACATATATATACATACATATATACGTGTATATAACACCATCTGGTCATGGGTCAATGTACATGAATTCAATGCATGAAAAGTACGTTAATAAAATCTTTCAAAACGTCATAAGACCATTTTGCATTTGAGTAATATCATAAAGTAAACTCTTTTCAACTTTCATATTTTTCTGAGACCCATGAACATATGATAAAATATTACGACACATGGAAATTAAATAACATAGATATTTCTAATACTTCTATGAATAGAGTCATTTATGGAATTGGTGCATTTGCTCATTTCTTCTGTATAACTTGGACCATGCCGAAAAGAAAGAAGGGATGACCTTAACATACCTGGAGTAGGGAAAAATCCGTATGATATTCTTGGATAAGGTCACCGTACTCCTTTAGAACCAAAATTTTTTTACGCTAACAAAAATTCTAATACGTCTCATTGGATTTTTTTGTAGGAATTGGTAAATCCTCTGTTCAAGCTTTGTGAATTTATCATAGTCTTCTCGATTTCCTTTATGAACATTTGTATCATCTGCTTGTGCTTTTCTATGTGTCATTCTGTATTCTGTGATAATTCACATGTCCTAAAATGATTCCACTTATTGTATACTTGGTTAAGCAAATCCTTTGTTCAAGCTTTATGAATTTATTATAGTCAAGGATTGCTAAGATTGTAATGTTTGAAGAATGAAATTTGGTTGAAACCCATCAGAATGGCTAACACCTCCCCCCTTCTCATTGTAGTCTTTGATATAGAAATTATTTAGGACTAAAGTGAATGTGTAAGACTTCACATTAGTTGCCACCTCATCCAAATTGATCAAGAGTCACTTCTTGGAGAAGTGGCTTGCTGCCATGTGGGGTGGGGGTGGGGTTTTATCTTATCCAAATATATCTCAAATTAATTATGTAATGTTCCGTTACCTGTTGATTAATCAATTACCCACAAAATTGAGAATTATTTCCACTTACTTAAAATATTACACACTTTTTACATACCTTATACACCTTACCGGGTATTTTAGCTCGGGCCGTATTTTATCTCAAAATGCCAAACTTGGACAAAATTCATTTTCTTTGACTTACTCCCCCTTTCACCTTCATAAATTTACCAATCGCTTGTGAAATAGCATAATCCTAATAATCTCCAAATAATCTTTTACTTGGACTGATGTCATTTACCTTACGACAAATTTAACGTACAATAATTTAGGGTGCAACATCGTCGTAACTTAATACTGTGAAGCGTGGCATCACCATAATTTAATATTGTTGGGTGCAACACTGTCGTAACTTAATACTGCAAAGCGTAACATCACCGTAATGTAATACTGCTGGGGGTAACATCATCGTAATATATTACTGCAGAGCATAACATCAACGTAATACTACGGGGTGTAACACAACGGATAATCAAATTACACTTGAAATTAATCTTCGTCTTTCGATTAAACATTAATTTCAGTAATTAATCTAATTGAAACACGGTAAACAATTGCAATGAATAAAATGATGGTTATGGTCTTACGGGTAACTTCTCACGAATATTTTCTTATTTTCTAGTTTGATTAACAATTCAAGAGGCTCTTTCGATTACCTATTTGAATCACGAATTTAGCCTAGAGCATAAGATGTAATGAAATTGAATATAAAGCTCCTATTTCGATTAAGCAAAATAATAAATACCTTCACAATACGATTTAAATCTCCATTAATTAATTCAAACAATTATCAATAATCGAATCCCTAATCAGATTATCAATACACCATATATGTCAACTCCCTAAGGGAAATTACTCCATAGCAATGGAGTGTGACATCTCAATAAGGTTTAGAAATAAAGAAACCATCAATTTTAATGATTTGATATAAACTCATGTATTGTACCGATTGCAGGTTAAAATATTGATGAATTCTTGAGTCTTCTTGCCTTGGTTCGTTCTCCAATCTTTTGTAGGTGAAAAGTCCCTTCAAAATTGTATTTTTGGTGTATCTATACGGTGTAGAAACAAGCCTGGACGAAACTACCCTTTCCTGGCCGAGCTTGAAAATCACTTTGATAATTTTTCCCAGTCGTATTGCATGCCGCACCGCGCCATGCGGCGCGCTAATGAGGAAATCCATAGGGCATGCAATTCACTCTTCATGCCATTTTTGCATTGTCGCGCCGCACCGCGCCTCGTGCCGCCCCATGCGGTGTGATAATGGCTTTTTCTCAGAGTAAATTCGTTTGTTCACTTTTAGATTTCGGTCTTGATCCTCGACTCCCGAATGTGATACCGGCTTAATTTCTTGGGATTTTACTAAAATTTCAAAGCTCCAACATGTTCGGTTTCGCTCCAATTTACCTAAATAGCTCAGAATCAGTTCCTACAAGGCATAAAATACGCAATAAGTATAATTCACTATCATATAAGCTCGACCACACTAAAAATGCAATAATTAGAGTGCAATACTACGGCTAACACACAGGTTTCTAGCCTACTATCATTATCCCACACTTAGACCATTACTCGTCCTCGAGCAATTAAACTACACTTCACATAGGGACGACCTTTTCATCAAACACCCTCCCTAACACACCATTCCAAGAATATTAAAAATAGACTGAGCACTATATCATAACATCCCAACCTCAAGACTCGACTCAGAAGCACCACGCATTTTTCATAACCTGCTCACTTACTCCAACACAGAGGTCAAACACGTTACCTTACCTTCGCAAATCATGTGCCCTCACGCAAACAATAAAGAGTAGTTCCCCACACAATATCGTTCAAGAAAAATTAGGAACTCAATAAAAAAAGAATTAACTCACTCTCATAATTGAAATTCATGTGCAATGGCCGACGTACCATAGGTTTGCCCATAGTGTAATACTCTACTAATTGAGATCATTCAATCAAGGATCAAGTAGGACTTTAATTGGTTGTAATATAGGCTGCAGGATGGGTAGGATACATATAGATTTAGTGGCTACACCTTCCTGAGCACTTTAATACATATACAATTTCACAATTCAAACCCCACACTTATGTCAAACCAAATCCCGACTTTTATACATGATAGCATCAAGCTCCCAATATCTTTAAGCACAAACAAGATCAGAAATAGTTCACAATTTTTTTTTCCTAAGTTCTGATTTTTCTTCTTCTTTTTCAATCAAACTCTCTTTTTTAAATTTTTCTACAAGTGGCTCTCACAATTTTTCACACACTTCACTTTTCTCCTTTTTCTAAAGCTCCGCTCAAAAACCCAACCAAGCCTTCACTTAGCTTTTACAAGCTTATAACGATTTTAAGTGCTCACGAGAGGCTGAGGTTCAACAGATGACCAATTCAAACCAAAGGGTAAGGCTTGTAATGTGGTTGCTAAAGAAACATAATTACAGGCTCAAAGGGGTTAACTAAGATACACTCAATTAGGTTGGTCACAGACGTATAACTGGCTCAACAAAGAAATGCCTATATCACTTCCTAGACTGAACAAGACCACTATTTCGCTTTGCAAACACATGGGGCAAGTTCTAGGCGTTAACTGCCATGCATAGAATATCACAAAAACCTCTCTCACACATTGGCACATAACTCACTTAGGATCGGATCTTTCACGACTCTCTAGTCAAAGCAGTTCAGCAGAGTCACAATCACACAATTTAAAACATTTATCTAAGAGTCAAGAATTGAGTGTAGGTGTTACAACTAAGACACTTACCACTCTCAAGGCATATGCAGTCAAGGGAAGTTGATTCAAATTAGCCCTATGACTCAAGATTCTTTATTCCTATAAAAAAACCTAAAAACTATCTACACCCGGTTCGAGTAAAACCCTTGGAAAAGAACCGTGGCACAAAGAAAAAACAAGGGGGAATTACTACACTACCTAAGGAAAAAACTTAAAGAAAATATAAAATAACATAAAAATAAAACAAAAGACATATTTTTGGATTTTCAATTTTTTTTCCGTTCGACTTCAAATCCCTCAAGAAGCCAATCGACAAAATCCATCGTCGGGAAGAGTCGAAACTAAACTATTAATTACTAACTATTACAGGCCAATAGAATTCAGAGTTATAATTTACAGACCATATTGTCTACGAAATCAAGAACAAATCAAACAAAACCAACTGGCAAATAGGAAACAAGTATAAATAAAAATACAATCAAATAGGAGCACCCCACCACACACTTAAGAAATTGCATTGTCCATAATGCAAAACAGTAAAACAAGGGTGAAAAAGATAACTCCCGGAGGCATGTGGCCTACTCCTCATCACAGTTGTGACATCAAAAGGCTTTTGAGGCTGTAAAATTGGAATTGTCCGATCATAATGGAACTCCTCCTCCACATGGTGGGTCCTCAGAAGCCATGTGATCATACTCGGGAAATACAGGTGGCGGGCCCCAAGTGTCGTACTTGAGACATGTGCTCAAGCATAATCTTACCCAGATCAATCTTTTCCAAGTCATGAAAGCATAAATGAGACACACCTTCAATTGGGAGACATCAGTGTCGTTCTGGGTAGGCATGATCCTCGCATTAATCAACCAGAGAATGACTCTGGTGGGACGTTGGAAATGACATTTCTTCATGTCCCTGTGGATCTCATTAGCATCTCGCATCCATGTGGCAAGAGACCCCGCACCACACATCTGGCGTCTAATATCAAGATAGGGGCGACGCAGCAACCTTATGAACAACTTATGCGGATGATCCGTGAATCCCATGATTTTATTTATGTCCCGGGAAGAAAATGGAATCATCTTGCATCTTACCTATGCTTCATACACAACATCTAAACTGGCCTTAGGTTGCCAGTTGGCGTAGAATTCCTTGACCATATTTACGTTCAATAATTCACTGGGATGGAACAAGCTCTCAATGCCCAGGAATCTGATGTTGCTGTAAATCCCCGAGTATTTCCTAGATAGATTACCATCATCAATTCCAACTTCCTGGTCGGGACTCACCGCCAGAACAAAGGTCTGGTACCACATCCTAGCATGAGCTAGCACAACACAAATGTCGTACTTGCAGCCTGGTACTACATCTGCATCGAGATTAATGCACTCCTCTTCCTCCTCCACTGGGGAGGGAGTAGGTGCCTTCCTACCTCCTCGACGGCTACTAGAGGCAAACTCTGAGGTACCTATGTTAGAACGTTTGCTAGGACGGCGAGACAATGTAGCTGCATAAGACAAACATCATTAGCCACAACACTTAAAACAAAAACAAGACCAAATGGGGTAACCACCCCACATTTATGTTATTGGCAAGTTCACAAGTACAATGTGTAATGAGGACTTAGATTACCCCATTGGAAACACGCCACAAGCAATCAATAGCCCACCCAACCACCAACACAACATTCCAACAACATAACCACAGACTACACTAGTGTCAACGACAAAATTAAGAAGCTAAACTAGTAATCACAAAAAGAAGAATAAGAAGTTAGTCTAATTCATTACTAATAAAATTAGGATACAATACAACACTACACAAGCACAATAGCACGAATCGGACACCTCATTTGGCACCTAGCAACACATGAGCAAGGGGTGGTCAATCAATTAGAACTCGGTGATAATAAGTTAAAGTTTCACAACATAAGAACATGGCATCCCACCCCACATCATCAAGCATCACATCCCATAAAGCATTTCCCTTCTAAATTTGCAATACTACACAATTTTATGTCATTAAGACATTTCAACAAATGCATTGTGGGCATATCTTGAACCTTCTTATTTCAATTGAAAGTGGGTTGGAATCACCACACAGCCACATCAAATACACCACTCACCACAACCACAACATCACCACATCTTCACAATAGCACCAAGTACACAAATTTTACACAAAACTTCACTAATTTTCGGCCACTTGGTACCCCCACCAAGATTCAACATAAATTCATTCTACACTATCAAAACACACCAAAAATAACCCATAATCCGAAGAACAATGAAAACCCCACAAGTTAAGCACCATTTTCGGCCATAGTAAGTAAAGAACTAAAAAAAATAGCACAGCTACACCATTTTCAGGGTGTTTGTCAGGGTCTCCAAAAAAACTTTAAATATTTTTTTTATGTAAATTGCATTGTCGCGTCGCTGGGTTTGGCGCCCCATGCGCGCATGGTGATGGGGTTCTCTAGAGAGCTATCTCTTATAGGGTTTTGTCCCTTTGTCCTAGCGCGATGCCCCATGCGGTGCGATAAGCCACCTTTCTCAAAGTCCCGATTTTTTTAACTTTTTAGCCTACGGGACACACCCCGGCTCAATTCTGTACTTATTTTGTGTTCAATTCATGCTCATACCTGTTCAAATAATTATCAAAACTCCTAAACTCTAAATAATCCTAAACTACCATTATTTAACTAGTCTACAAAAGCAATAAAAAAAGATTAGAAATAGTCCTGAGTTATAATCATCATCTTACCTCCATCACTTAGGCTCATTTGATCACGATGCTAGATGATTACTTGTCAAATCCTCCAACAAGGTACGGTTTCAACCTGTGCTCATTCGCTTTAAGGCTTTCCTTCCCTTCCTCGTCCTATATTTCAATGGCGCCATACAGTGAGATATGTTTTACCACATACGGACATGTCTATCTTGACTTGAATTTTTCGGGGAATAACCTAAGTCTACTATTGTATAATAAGACTTTGTCCCCTTTCTGAAACTCCTTTGGCTTAATAAGACGATCATGCCACCTTTTTGTATTTTCCTTGAATATTCTCGCATTTTCATACGCATCCATTCTAAACTCCTCCAATTCATTCATTTGTGCCAACCTGTGTTCACCTGCAAGACTAAGATCAATATTAAGCATCTTAATTGCCCAATAAGCTTTATGTTCTATCTCAACAGGTAGATGACATGATTTTCCATACACTAACTTGAACAGTGAAGTCCCTATGGTTGTTTTGAATACAGTATATGCCCATATAGCTTCATCCAACTTTATATACCAATATTTATGAGAAGCACTAACCGTCTTTTCAAGAATTCATTTAAGTTCACGGTTATCCACTTCAAATTGACCACTAGTTTGGCCATGGTGTGAGATTCCTGTTTTGTGTGTGACCCCATACTTAGACAATAATGCAGCGAACTGCTTGTTCACAAAGTACAACCCATTGTCACTGATAATCACTCGAGGTGTCTCAAACGGGTAAAGATGTTCTTCCGTAAGAACTCACATACCACCCGAGCATCATTGGTCCTAGTAAGGATTGCTTTGACCCCTTTAGCGATGTAGTCAACGGCTACTAGGCAATACTCATAAAAATGCGACATTGGGAATGGAACCATGAAGTCAATGCCCCAAATGTCAAAAATTTCATATACCAGAATGGAGTTGAGAGGCATTTCGTCCCTCTTGATAATATTACCTGCCCCTTAACACTTGTCACATGCTGCTACATACACTCGTGCGCCTTTGTACAAAGTAGGCCAATAGAAATTGGCTTTCATGACCTTTGCTGTCATGCAATTTCCACCATAGTGTCCTCCAGCTGATCTATCATGGAATTGAGACATAATGCTTGTCATCTCTACTTTAGACACACATCTTTGAATCACACCATCTGCATACAGTTTAAATAAGACGGGGTCATTCCAAAAATAACTTTTTACCTCACTTTGAAGCTTCCGTCTTCGATCACGAGTGAGGTCACCAGGCAACCATCCACTAGCCAAAAAGTTGGCTACATCAGTATACCAAGGCGGCCTTTCGGAGACCGCAACAATAGAGAAAATCTGCTCATCAAGGAATTCTTTCCATATTTCAATTATTTCAACTGGAGATTTCTCAAGTCGAGATAGATGATTTGCGACTTGATTTTCTGTGCCCTTCCTATCTTTGATCTCCAAGTCAAACTCTTGGAGAAACAACACTCACCGTATCAAACGCGCCTTGGACTCATTCTTACTCAACAAATATTTCAAAGTGGAGTGATCAATGTGCACAATCATTTTAATCCCCACCAGGTATGATCTAAACTTGTCAAAAGCAAAGACCACAACAAAGATCTCTTTTTCAATAGTGGCATAGTTGACTTGAGCATCATTCAATGTCCTATTTGCATAGTAGATCGGCCTAAACATTTTATCTTTTCTTTGCCCAGAGCTGTTCCTACAGCTATATCACTAGCATTACATATTATCTCAAATGGCGGGCTCCAATCAGGTGTCACCATAATAGGAGCACTCACAAGCTTTTCCTTTATCAATTCGAATGCTCTTAAGCACTCCACATTGAAAACAAACTTGACATCTTTTGCTAGCAATGCAGTCAACGGCTTGGTAATGCTGGAAAGGTTTTTAATGAACCTCCTATAGAACCCAACATGTCCCAAGAAACTCCTTACACTCTTCACAGAAGTTGGTGGAGGGAGCCTAGAAATTACATCAACCTTAGCTCTATTAACTTCAATTCCATGTGCAGTTACTTTGTGGCCCAAGACAATTCCCTCTTTAACCATGAAGTGACACTTCTCCCAGTTAAGAACCAAGTGAGTGGCTTCATAACGTTCAAGCATAAGCTCCAAATTTTTCAAGCAATCATCTAAGTCACCACCAAAGAGGGTAAAATCGTCCATGAATACTTCTAGACACTTCCCGTTTAAATCGGAAAATATAGACATCATGTACCTCTGAAAAATGGCAGGTGCATTACACAACCCAAACGACATCCTCCTGTAAGCAAATATGCCTGATGGGCAAGTGAATATGGTCTTCTCTATATCTTCTGGGGAAATGGGTATCTGATTATAGCCTGAGTACCCATCCAAAAATAGTAGCATCCATGTCCCGCCACTTTCTTGAGCATTTAATCAATAAAGGGGAGTGGGAAGTGGTCCTTCCTTGTTGCATCATTCAGCCTTCTATAATCAATGCATATTCTCCATCCAGTGACAGTTCTTGTGGGAATCAATTCATTATCTTCATTTTTTACCACTGTCATTCTAATATTCTTAGGTACAACTTGCACCAGACTAATCTGTTGACTATGAGAGATGGGAAAAATCACTCTCGCATCTAGCAATTTGATAATCTCCTTATGCACTACCTCCTTCAAATTTTTGTTCAACTTGCATTGGGCTTGCACCACTAGCTTGCTAGTTTCTTCCAACAGAGTTTTGTACCTACAAATGGCTGGAATGATTCCTTGAATAACAGCTATGCTCCACCCAATGGCCTTCTTGTGCTTTGTCTGTAGCTCCACCAGTTTTTGCTCCTGTGTACCTGGAAAGTCAGCAGAAATAATCACAAGAAAATTGTTAGTTTTGAGAAAAACATATTTCAAGTGAGTGGGGAGGACTTTCGATTTCACATTAGGCTTAGAAGCCTCCTGTTTTAGTTCCTCCTCATCAACCACTTGATCTTTAGTTTCAAGAGCTTCCACATCTTTCTTTATTTCAAAATCTTCATCCTCCACTATGCCTGACTGAGTAATACACCTCTCTAGAGTATCCCCTACAAGCTTGTCAAACTTGTATTTTTCAGCCAACTCTCCAATAACATCTAGCTTAAAACAGGAGTAAGCGGATGCCTCATTACTGGGGTATTTCATCATTCTCTTCATCTAGAACACCACTTTCTCATTTCCCACTCTGAGCATAAGCTACCCCTCATAAATATCAAGGATGACTCTACTTGTACATAAAAATGGCCTCCCCAGAATTAGAGGCACCTCCTTATTCACCTCCATATCCACCACAATAAAGTCTACGGGGAACATAAACTTGTCCACCCACAGTAGAATATCTTCAATGATTCCCTCCGGTAGGATGGTGGTCTGGTCAGCTACTTGTGGGGACATTGGTATTGATTTGATCATACTAAGTTCATATTTCAGTTTCCCGAATACAGACAGAGGCATTAGATTTATAAATGCACCGGAATCACAAAGGACCTTGTCGAATTTTTCACTCCCCAACGAGCATGGTATGGTGAAGTTTCCTGGGTCCCCACACTTTTGGTGAAGTTTATTTTGTAATATGGCACTGCAGTGGGCATTCAGCTTGACTACCATTGTCTCCTCCAATCTTCTCGTGCTAGATAGAATTTCCTTCAAGAACTTTGCATAAGCACGCATCTGAGTGAGTACCTCTGTGAAGGGAATGTTCACATAAAGTTGTTCGGTCATCTCCATGAATCACCCAAAACATTTGTCAACTTTCTCCCGCTTCATCTTTTGAGGGAATGGTAGAGCTGACATATGTCTACTTTCTTCAGTTTCCTTTTGTACCCGTTATTCTAGCTCTTTTGCTCTTCACTCTTTTTCTCTGCTGGTGTCTCAGTCTGCTTGTTAACCACCTCAGGTCTAGCCTTCACCACTGGGTCAGTCAATGCTTTGCCACTTCTCACAAATACATCTTTGATTGTTTCCTTTGGGTTCTTTTCAGTGTCAGAGGGAAGAGTCCCAGGAGCCCTCTTAGACAAGAAATTTGCATTCTGTCCCATTTGTCTTTCTAAATTCTGGATGGTTGTGCCTTGCTCCCTGATAGCGGTCCCTTGAGTCTCAAGTATCTTATCAGAATTATTTATAAATGCCTTCATTAGATCTTCTAGACTTGAATTGTTGGGATGTGAGGTTGGTATGGTTGCCTCTATTGAGTTTGGAAACTAGAAGGTCCTTGCACTGGTGCTCTGGGATTTTGCTGCTGCCATGAGTTCAAACTATAAGTTGAAGAACTCCATGAGAACCCTGGATATCTCTGTACCATAGAATTGAAATTAACACCTCCTTGGTAGTTGCCTCTGTTGAAGTTCCCACAATGTTGACTTCCTCAGCTGTAGCTTGACACTCATATGTCGGGTGTCCCAATCCACATATGTCACATCCTACCTATGGTTGATTTTGCACCTGAGCTAGTGTTAGTATCCTGATGTCCTTAACCATAGCTGCAATTTGGGCCTGCATTGATACCAATAATTCTACTTGGTGCACCCCCGCTGATCTTCTTTAGCCCCCTTGGTTAGTGGATCATTATTTTGCGTCTTTAGATAGTTCATTCAGACGACATGTAATTCACTTGTCTGACCACTTTTGCACTACCGCACCGCACCTCACGGTGCCCTATGTTCTGCGGTAGTGGCTTTTTCTCAGAGTGAATTCATTCGTTCACTTTTTGATATTCGGTCTTGATCCTCGACTCCCAAACGTGATACCAGCTTACTTTCTTGGGCTTCTACTCAGACTTCAAAGCTCCAACTTGTTCGATTTCACTCCAATTTACCTAAATAACTCAAAATCAGTTCCTACAAGGCATAAAACATGTAATAAGTATAATTCACCATCATTTAAGCTCGAACACATGAAAAATGCAGTAATTAGAGTGCAATAGTACGACTAAAACACGGGTTTCTAGCCTACCATCACACTTCGCGTTTGACAATCTTCTAATAAGGACTTGCTTCAACCCACTTAGATAAATAGTCAATTAAAATCAAAAGGAACCTTACCTTACCAAGAGTCAGAGGTAGTGGTCTGACGATATCCATTCCCCACTTCATGAACGGTCTTAGATAGAAAATCGAGTGTAACACTTCTGCTAGTTGATGTACCAATGGTGCGTAGCATTCACTTATCACATTTTTGAACAAAAGCTTTGGCATCTTGTTCCATTCGGGGCCAATAGTATCTTGCCCTTACCAACTTTAGTACCAAGGAATTTGTGCCCGAATGATTTCCACAGATCCATTCGTGGACCTCTCGCATAACATAGTTCGCTTCGTAGGCTCCCAAGCATCGGGCCAGCAGAACTTAGAAGGAATTCCTGTACAATTAGTCTTCTTTGAAGCTATATCGTGCTACTTTAGCGCGTAATGCCTAGATGCCTTAGGGTCTTTAGGCAATTTTCCATGCTCAAGATAATCAATTATCTCATTCCTCCAGTCCCATACCAAGTTAGTTGTGTTTGTCTCGTAATAGTTATCTGCATCCAGAACCGAGCGCATAAGTTATACGATCATACCGAAGTCTGATCCCTTCATTTTTGTGGATGAGCCAAGGTTAGTTAGCGCATCCGTATCTACATTTTATTCCCTCAGGATATGCTATTACTACTATAGGAACCGAGCGGGCAGAGGTTGGACCTTTGCTACGTATTGTTGCATGCGCTCTTCTTTGGCTTCGAAAATCCCGTAGACCTGATTTACCACCAGTTCGAAGTCGCATTTGATTTCTATGACCTCGGAATCTAGTCCCCGGGTTAACTCGAGTCCTACAATCAATGCTTAATACTCCGCTTCATTGTTAGTTAGTGGAACCGTTCTTATGGCATGCCTTAAGGTTTCTCCCGAAGGCGTGGTTAACACTATGCCGAGCCCGGACCCTTTTACGTTGGAGGACCCGTGCATAAATAGGGTTCAAACTCCCGATGTTTATTCTTACGTCATCACTGTTACTTTAGTAGCCAAAGGTAGTAATCTAAGATTGAAATCGGCCACAAAGTCTGCCAAAACTTGAAATTGTAGTCCTAAGTTTATATTCTATGTCAAATTCAATCATTTCGACGGCCCATTTGTCCAACCTACCCCGAAAGTTCGAGTTTTTGAAGTATATTCCACAGGGGAAAGGTGGTCACCACAACTATCAGGTGACACTGGAAATAATGCCTTAGCTTCCGAGCGGCGACTACAAGGTCTAAAACCAACTTTTCCAAATGTGTGTAATGAGTTTATGCTCATGTTAAAATTCTATTAACGTAATAAATGGGAGATTACGTACCTTCATCCTCACGGACTAAAATGGCGCTTACGGCTACCTCCTAGACCGCTAGATAGATTAACAACTTTCCGCCTTCCTCTGGCTTCGATAACAGTTTAGGACTTGACAAGTATCTTTTTAAATCCCTCAAAGCTTGTTGAAATTTCGGGGTCCATTTGAAGTTGTTCTTCTTCTTGAGTAACGAAAAGAAATGATGACATTTCTCTGAAGACCGGGAAATAAACCTACTTAAAGTGGCCAATATCCCTGTGAGCCTTTGAACCTCTTTTACGCTTGACAGCTGGTCCGAAATGTCTTCGATGGCTTTAATTTTATCGGGGTTAACCTCAATTCCCCTCTAAGATACCAGGAACCCTAGGAACTTACTAGAGTTGACCCCGGACGCTCACTTCTTGGGGTTAAGCTTCATGTTATGCTTTTTTAGGATGTCAAAAGTTTCTCTCAAGTGTTTAAGATGATCACCTACATTCAAAGACTTAACGAGCATATCGTCTATATAAGCTTCCATGGTTTTCGCTATTTGTTTTCAAACAGTTAATTTACAAGCTGCTGATAAGTGTCTTTGGCATTTTATAGCCCGAAGGGCATCACATTGTAGCAATATGTGCCGAAGTTTGTTATGAATGAAGTTTTTTCCTAATCCTCCGGGTTCATCTTAATTCGGTTGTACCTGGAATAAATATCGAGGAAACTCATTAACTCATGACCGGCCATCACATCAATCATTTGATTAATGTTTGGCACTGGGAACGCGTCCTTTGGGCATACCTTATTCAAATCCTTATAGTCTATGCACATGTAAAATTTATCATTCTTCTTAGGAACTAATACTACGTTAGCTAGCCAGTCTGGATACCTTACCTCTATGATTGAACCAATATCAACTAAGCGAGTTACTTCTTCTTTGACGAATTTATTTTTGGCCTCGACAATAAGACATTTTTTCTGTCTTACTGGAGGATTGTTCGGATCGAGACTTAGCTTGTGTATGACCACTTCCATTGGTATACATGTCATATCTACATGCGACCATGCGAAAAAATTGGCATTAAAATTTAAGAAATTCAATAAACCCGGAACTAAACTCGGGGTGCAGTCTTGTTCCCTAGTGGAATTTCCTCTCCAAGAACTTTTCGAACAATGCGACTTGCTCAAGATCTTCCAATATGGACTTCGTTGTGTCCCTATCTTCTGGTACCTGGAAATATCTTGGCACCTGATAAGATTCTGATGCCTCTTCCCTTTGTTGACTTCACTTGATTCGGAAGCAGGTGCCAGTTCCTATAATTGCTATTCCGCATGCTCATTTCCTTTGCTACTAGATACTGATATCGTATTCATCTCCCTTGCTGCTGGTTGATCGCCTTTTATCTGTTTAATCCCCTTGGGAGTTGGGAATTTCAGCAACTGATGATACGTCAGTGGTACAACCTTCATCTCATGCAACCATGGTCTTATCAGGATAATGTTGTAGCCCATATCACCATCTACCACCTCAAAAGGGTCGTCTTTATCACTCCCTCGGCATTTGTGGGCAGTGGGATCTCTCCTCGGGTTGTCATTTTTGTGAGGTTGAACTCAGCGAGGCATTTTGCAGGCGGAATGATGCTTTCGGTAAGTTTGGCTTGTTCTAATATCCTCTATTATATAATATTGGCCGAACACCCTAGATCGACAAGAACACGTTTGATTTTAAAAATTTAATACATTTAAAAAATTATCAGCGCGCCGTTGAGCGGAAGAACAATCCGTCTGCGCCTTCCTCCGTGAAAGTGATGTCATCTTCAGCGACTTCCCGGAGTCTCTTTCTATGGGTTACTAATAACTTTGTCTTCTTTGACGCCAAGAAGGTAATCCCGTTAATCTCGTTCCCCCAAAAAATCATGTTGATCGTCAGACGAGGGGAATCTTTACCTACCTTTGAGGGCTCCGCATTGTCACAATTGCGACCGTCATTGTTTTTAGCCCAACCACTTATGAAGTCCCTGAGATGGTCATTTTTCAGCAGTGTCCCAACCTCTTCACACAAATGTCGGCAGTCCCCAGTTCAGTGACCATTTATCCCGTGGTATTTGCACCATAAATTAGGATCCCTTTAGCTGGGATAGGACCTCATCGGCTTCGGGAACCGTGCTTCTTTAATTTTCCTCATAGCCGACACCAACTCTACTACACTGACGTTAAAGTTGTATTTTGAAAGTCTAGGGTAGGAAAGATCTCGAGAACCTCATGTTTCCTTGTCCTGTAATGATCTATTATTTCGATCGCGATCAGTTCTTCTATCGGTAACGAACCTGTTTGCCTACCAAAAACCTCTGCCACGTCCTTCGGCCCATTCATCGGGCAAAAATCGGTGTTTTAATTTCTCCTTATTCTTCTCCCGACCTTTAGCCTCCGCCGGGAAGCCGAGCCGATCATCC